TCCTTGCCCTGCTTCTATCTGCTACAACAGTAACCTCTAAGCTCTATTGATCATGCACCTCCACCTTGAGCAACAACTTTCAACATGTACCCCCAAAGGTGAATATTCACATATCATAAACATGAATTCCTGTACTAATTTATTACATAACAGACATGAATTTGACATTTAAAAGGATGACATAAAAAAAAGAAACAAATAGAAGTTCCAGTTTTCTTCTCCATTACTATTGGTTTGCATAGTGACAGTCTTCTTTGGAAACCACTGGCCCAAAGGGAAATGTCCAAACTCCTGTGCATGACATACAAGGCCGTGTGTCATTTGTTCCCTGCTTATGTGTCCAACTTCATCCCTCACCCCTTCACCCCACATATCATATGCTTCAACCATGACAAATTATTTGTAGCTCCTTCAGTGAAGAAGAAATTAAATTTTAACTTGCATTCCTGAAACAAAATAAACATCTCTGCATCTTTGCAATTGTTCTTTCCTCTTCCTGGAATGTCCTTATCATCCTTTTCAGCCCAGTGAGTACTCGTCATTCAGATCAAGTGTGACTGCCTCTCTCTAGTTGATTACTTTCACTTTGTGTGCTTATTTTTATTATTTCTATATTGTATTCAAATTATACATTTGCCTCTCTATAAGCTGTGCCACAGTCCTTTAGCTTCTTGAGGACAGAGGACTGTCATCCAACCTGATTCTCTATCACATATTGCCAAGTGGCAGCTGAATAGCTGCCATATGTTAAGATAACCCTTGAATTGAACAAACTCACTCTATTCAAGTTTAACATCTGTTATTTGTAACATGCTAAGGGCTGCCAAGCCAACAATATGCATAATCCACACCCAGGACTCATCCAAACAAATGGTACTCCTGACACTCTCAGAATTCTCTGATTCAGATGACCTATTCCATGTGATGACTTCTATTTCTACTGAAATTTAGCCATTATCATCATCACTGAGTATTGCTCCACCTGTAAGATCTCAAACTGAAAATCCTTCTTTGACCACAAGATCCACCTCAACCCCTGAAAGAGCTCTTCCCCGTTATGGTGGCACTGTCCTGCACCTCCTCACCTGCCTAGGCTGCCAGGCCTCTCCTCCCCAGCCAGGACTGCATGGCCAATCATTTCCATCATGCTCTCATTAGCACCCATGGCTACACTGCCCTGCTGGCTCATCATATATGTCTTCCTTCTTTAACATCTTCAACTTTACCTTTTCCCCTGACCTTGACCCTGATCCTATCTTAAGATACATTTTCATTTCTTTCCTTACATTCATGAAAATATAGTTAGTTCATGTCACCTTTATTTCCTAACTCCTCGTATATTTATGATTTGCAATCTGGATCCACCCTTTACAAACAGTTCTTCCAGGTCACCTATTCATTGTCAAATCCAAGGGGATATTCTCATTCTGCACAACTTCTTTGCATTACTTATGTCACTGATAACTACTTCTCCTGTTAAACTTTCTCCTTTTTAGGCTTCTTTGTCATTAAATTACCTTAGTCTTCCTCCTGTTTCTCTGACCTGTCTCATCTATTGTCTCTGCTCTCCAGTCCCAAACCTTAAATGTGATCATACAATAAGAAGCTGGCCTCAGCTACCTTTTCCCACATACTCTCATGATGACCACATTCACTGAGATAGTGGTAACTCCTAAATCCTGACATGTTTTCACACTATTAATCACATTTCTGACACGGTCAGATAATTTTACATTGAGAAGGAGATTACCATGGACATCCTCCTATATGATGCAAGCAGAAATTTAAGATGTGTAAAATAATTTGTGTATGGAATCTTTCAGGATTTTTATTATTTATATCCCGTCTTTTCTAATTCTTAACTATACTTTTGCAGCAACCCTTAAAAGCTATTTACCTATATTAAGTCTTCCAAAGCAGTCAACTTTATTTTCTTATAAATAGTTCTCCTTAACACTGAGGTTTCATCATTTGATCTAATATTTAATTAAAATGCATATTATAACAACATAATAGGAGCAACACAGCTCGCTCTGGGTAAGCATTCCACTCCACTGGTAGGAACAAGTAGACTGCCAGCCACAAGCACTCAGTATGCTCTATGTTGTATAGAGACAATGGAGAATGACGGTTAATCTGGTGAGGCACTCAGGTGAAGGTCACAGAGCCAGCCTACATTTTAAAGCCATGTCAAGGCAGGAATCTTATGGAGGTAAGAATCCTATCTAACCCTAGATCTCACTACCTCTACTCTTTTCAGTGGCACAATATTCCTAGACCTATACTTTAAAAATCTTACGAGTGATTTTAAGATTATACATAGAATGATAATTTATTTAAAAAATTAAAGTGGAAAAATGATTAATAATCCCCGAAAAATAGACATGTCTACTCATGGCCAATTTCTCATGTCTTTAAGGACTGTGCAAGCTTATTTACTCTACATGTGCTTACAATAATGAAATTCCTTCCCCATTAAAAATATAAAATTAGGATTTTTATGATCCCACTCTCCTTTTTATATTATCTAATATTCAAGTGATTGCCACTAAAAAGTTTAAATGAATGCAATATTTGGGAAACACAGGAAACCTTCCTGCTGCCAACATTAAAATAACAACAACTGGTTTTAATAATCTGGTAGAGATTTGCCATATGTAGCAGAAGTGAAAGGTGAACTTAACCCATTAACCTCAATGGAGTGCAGAAGGCAGAATTCAGAACTCAGTGGATGATAACTGAATCTATATTACTAACTTTGAGGGTTACTAATTTTGTGTTTTAGTCCCCAAAAGTTAGTTTTTCCCCCATTTAGAAAAAAGCTTCTAAATACAACTATAAATTGAATGACTGGAGGAAGTAACACCATTTGTTTTCCTGCAACTTAAAAAGGAAAAACAAAGGCAATATTCAAAAAATAAATTGTTACAATATGTTTGAATAAATTTTTAAATCTCTTTTTCTGGCCAGGCGAGGTGGCTACTCCAGTAATCCTAGCACTCTGGGAGGCCAAGGCAAAGAGGATTGCTTGAGCTCAGGAGTTCAAGACAGCCTGAGCAAGAGTGAGACCCTGTCTCTACCAAATATGGAAAAAATTAGATGGGCGTGGTGGCATGCCCCTGTAGTTCTAGCTACTCAGGAGGCTGAGGCAAGAGGATTGCTTGAGCCCAGGAGTTTGAGGTTGCTGTGAGCTAGGCTGACGCCACCACACTCTAACCTGGGCAACAGAACAAGATTCTATCTCAAAAAAAAAAAAAAAAAAAAAAATCTCTTTTTCTCTGCTAATACTTCAGAAGAGCCATTAAATTTCTGTTTTTCTTGTTATCGCTACTCATGCTTTTGAAATATTAGTAAAACACTCAAGAAAAAACAATTTTTAATGAACATTCATACTAAAAATCTAGATACAATGAAATACTCAATTTAGGATTTGTTCAAATTTGAGATCTTTAATTGGCCTGTGGGTGGATGTGATGTGCTGTTAATTGTTGTATACAATTAGGGATGTGTAAACAAAACATTTCAGCCTGAATTGAATTATTCTAGTGTTGCAGATAACATGCAACACTACCTAACCTTTTGCAAACTGCTGTTCTCTTCTTTTTTTGTGAATATTGTCATACTAAAAAAAAAGAATGTCTTAGCACTGAGATGCAAGTAAAACTGACATTTTACATAATCTGCCTCCCTGACTGTCTTTTAATATTAACTTGTTTTTTTCCATCTCTTAATGTTATATAAGATGCTAAACTAATCAACCAAAAGAAAGAATGAAAAGAAAGAAAAGCATTTTTATGAGGATTTCAAGTCTTATTTTAAACCACTGATGAAAAATAATGTTCTTCAGTAGTGGTTCACAAATAGAATAAGAACAATGATAGCCACGATAATACATTATATCACATGATCATTTAACTGTACCTTCAACAAACTGGTCATGAGCTTAATCATCTACCACAGCTGTAGCGGGTCAGAGAGAAATCCAGCCCAATCAAAGCTGTTCAGTTATAGCTGTAGCAGGAATTAGCCCTTATACCTTTTACCTTGAGGATTAGTCATTTTTTTCTAAAACATCTAAACACATCAGACATATAAACAATTCAACTATAAATTATATACTAGAAAATCTTTAATCAGTCAGGAAATCAAAAGGTCAATATTAGTTTATATGTGAAATACAATAAGCATAATACAAAGCAGAAGTGATTTAGTAACTAATTCAGAAAGTCTTCCTGGTTATTGAAATGAGTCCCTCTAAGAATAGTGATTTCTACTACTTAATTGCTCATGAGTAATTGAAAAATGGCAAATTGGAACAGTCTTGAACTTCTGGAAAGTTTGTGGTTTTCTATATTTTTTCTGCTAGTATTTCTCCATGACCAGTAAGGGTCAACATGACCAAGAGTCATCTCCAGTGTCCCTTCTTCAAAAGTTCCCTAAAATTAACAAGGAAGGCTGGGTAATCTCAGAATATATTTTATCTCAGAACCTCAGAATATATTTTATCAGGGCCTCTAGTTTTACAGATGGAGAGAGTAACTGTGCCTGAAAAAGTTGAGACTCATCCAACGTCACAAGATAGTAGCAGGGCAGGACCTGGCATTGAAGGCCTCGTGGCAGTGACTGTGAGGGCAACCACAGGGGCACATCTTGCTCTGTGTCACTATCCCCTTTCCATGTGACCTAGACTGCACAACAGAAACCAAATCTTCTTAAGCTATGGTTCTCACCAACCTCAAAGGGGGTGCTGTGTCCTCTTCCTAACATACTACTTATCATGGTCATTAGCAGAAACTCTCACTTGGTACATCTGCTAAGAAGAATGCCAAAACCACTTGTGATGAAATAAAGCCTACAAAAACAGCACTAAACAAACTTTTACTTTTTGATGTAAAGTGATTTAAAAAAAGGAATGAGTTCTTTCATCATCATCAAGAGAGTACATCTGACATCAATTAACTCTCAACGACTTTCAAGTGAAGAATTAAACACAAAATTACCTTTGAACGTTTCAAGTTCCTTCCTGTAGAAAAAAAGAAAATGCAAAATTAAAATAATCAGTTCCCAATGGAAATGCTCATACATCATAACAAAAATGTTTGCGCTTTAAATGCCCAGAGTGGTATTTCTGGATGCTCACATATCAATTATGCTTTACTGAAATTACCAATATATTAGGATAAAGCAACTATTTTTAGTAATTTCTGCTATTATCTATTAACAGCTAAAAAACAATCCTACCAAAATTTAAACTATTAAAACAACAAAACACTTATAAGAAAACAGACAGTATTTTAATGCTAGCTATGAACATCTCATATATATAAGAATCAGTTTATAATAGCACTTAACATGGTTTTTCCTCCATTGATAAAGATTAAATAATGAGTTTTTGAGACCTTTAGTCAAAAATTATCCAGCATAGGAATGGCTATTTCCCCCTTTTAATAGCAAAGGAGAAAAGGGAGAAAACACATAGGAAGGGATGGAGATTCACAGCTCATCCTGCCACAAAAGGTCCAAGCCTCCAGGAATCTTCTGGTTTGTTATTTTGTCAATGTCAATTAAGGATGCCAAAACACAAAGCTTCCTGGGGAAATGTACAGTGGGGGAAATGAGATTAATGATCATAAAATAAACACTTTGTGACAAAGAGGACAAAGCAAGTTATTTTCAGGTCTTCTATCATAATTTTGCAATTGTATATTTTTTTCTCAGTATCAGTACTAATAAAAAGTAATATTGAGGAGGCAAGTTTATTTAGTAAAGGCTTGTTATCCCACTTAAAATATGAGACCTTTATATTTTATTTGCATTTACGAAAAATCCAGAAATGTTTTCAACTTTCAAATCAGTATTCTACACTTCTAATTACAATACCCTCATGTTCCAAAATAGTTGACTACAATTAACAGCTGGTACGAAGGACTGGCAAGATGCCTACTGAAAGGCCAAGCAGATAATGTTCTTGCAACAGCCAAAGTGAAGGTTCTTAAATCAGATGGTCATCCCACTCCTCTTTTCCTAAAAATACCTACTCCTCATAATAATTCTCCAGCACCATGGTTCATAAACTACGAAAGAGAATATAATTTTCAATCCTGTCTTTTCAAAAAACCATGCAATTGTTTCCCTTCAGTCAATAGTCAATTTCCTTTTAAAAGGTTAGCTAGACTGTGCGTGATGGCTCACGCCTGTAATCCCAGCACTTTGGGAGGCCAGGGTGGGAGGATCAGCTTGAGGGCTGGAGTTGGAGGCCAACCTGACCCCGTCTCTACAAAAATTTTAAAAATTAGCCAGCTGTGGTGGTGTGTGCCTGTAGTCCCAACTAACTCTGGAGGCTGAAGCAGGAGGATCGCTTGAGCCCAGGAGTTCAAGGCTACAGTGAGCTATGATCACACCACCGCACTCTAGCTGGGGTGACAGAGCAAGATCTTGCCTCTTAAAAAAAAATTTTAGGTAGGTACAAGTTAAGCACGCCTGAAAGCTACTTTATACTCCAATAATGGGATGAAAACCAAAGTACTTAACAGGAAGGTAGCATATATGCTAAGAATCTTGAAAAGACATTTTCAATTTACTTGTTAGTGATGCCCTCATGTTAGTAATTCCCTGAAGTCACTGGAGGGGTGCAGGGCATTGACAGAACATGCAGTTCAAAATTCTAAAGGGCATGTGGTGTTCACATTTTTTTCTTTTCAAAAACTCCAAAAGCTTGTCTTTAAATGAAGGATTGTTGATCACCATGTGAAGCAGTTTTGAAGGTTCCATGGCGTCACTGGATAGCTGGTTGCCACAGTTTATACAAAGCAGGCTTGGAGAATGGGAATCACCTGTTGCAATGAACCTGTACGTATTTCAAGTAGAACTCTCGGTATTTTCTTTTAAATGCAGCTTTCATTTTGTTGGCAGTCTTAGAGTCTGCTGCTATCTCATCATTGGATCTTTCCCCCTTTTCAAAGAAGCTCTCCTGTGATGTTTCTTACTCATTTTTGCTAGAGTTAGCTTATGGACTTACCAAAACACTGACTGAGACAAGTGTGAAGTGCGTGAAAGAGGTGCGGATGGAAGTGGTAAATAAAATAATGGGCCGGTCACACACGGACTAAAATAAGCGTTGGATTCAGACTTACAGCATGCCGCCACATGCAGCTCTACAATTAAGGTGCTCACTTGCCACTACAAAGCCTGCCACCAGATGCAGCTTAATTGTCACTTGCCAGTCACTGACAGTGTTTTGATATGAGTCTGTTAGCAATTGATTTATTATGGTCTCTGTGCAGTCAAACCTCTCTGCTCATGATGATCTGCATTTGCAGCTGCTCCCCAGTGCTAGCATCACCGCCTCAGATCATCAGGTATTACATTCTCATAAGGAGCACAACCTGGATCCCTCGCGTGCCAGTTTACAGCAGGGTTCATGCTCCTGTGAGAATCCAGTGCCCCCACTGATCTGACAGGAGGAGGAGCTTATGCGGTGATGCGGATGATGGGGAGCAGCTGTCAATACAGGTGAAGCTTCACTCGCTCACCCAATGCTCACTTCCTGCTGTGAGGCCTGGTTCCTAACAGGTCAGGGAGCAGTACCAGTCCGAGGCCCGGGAGTTGGGAACTGCAGTGTTAGAGGTACTGAGACGGCAGGGAGGCACGTCCAGCAGAGGCAGTGGTGGCTGGGAAGGCAAGGAGGCCAAAAGATGCAGGTTATAGGTAGGGAACTGACTTCAGTGCAGCAAGTATTTGTCCTGGAGCAAATACTTCAGAGCAGCACGCTGAATGAAGAGAAAGCAGTTTAGATTAAAAGGTAGATGGTTCTCAGTGCCAGGCTGAAAAATTTGGTTTTATTTTTAGTAGGAGAATAACATGAGCAAAGCTGTGCTTTAGGAAGAACATTCTAGCCATGATGGATGGATGTATTGGCAAGGGAGAGAATAAAAGCAGAGAGTACTTAGGAAACTATGAGAGTGGTTTGGAGAAGAGCTAATTAATGCCTGGCAAAAGTGACATAAGTGGCAGTGGCAATGGCAATGAAAAGAGGAGTGCCATTTGAAAAATTCTCAACAGCCCACGGCACCTGATTAAATGGGGACGGGGGAGGAAGGAGACAAACCTGCCACATGAGGGGTCCAGTCTGCTTCTCCAGAAGGAAGAGAAAAAGATCTCGAGCAGTGCATGAGTTCATATTGCTGAAATAACCTGGAAGGCTGGGGGTGCTGCAGGCTGGATTCCCACGCCCTTCAGCCTACTCAAGGACGTGGCTCTGACAGCTCCTCCCTCCCTCCCTTGCTTCACAGTCACTCCCAAACCCTTTCCAATTTGACTTCTGGACCCCACTACCACACAATCAAGGCAATCCAGTGACCAACAATCCAGTGACCGATTCCCACTTCTTATCCTAACCCCTCAGCAGCCTTTGACCCAACTGGCGATTCCCTGAGAAAGTTTCCTTAGGGGTCTCCTTCAGTTTCTTTTGCTAGCAGCTCTACCCCTTCCAGAATACTAATGCTGGTGTGCTGCAGGCTTGGTTCTGGAACTTTTTCTCTCCTTAACTTACATTCATTCAGAAGTCAATTTCACCCAGCTGCATAGCTCTGAATACCATCTACATATTACTGACTTCCTGATTTACATTTCTTCTCTTGAGCTCCAGACTCACATGCAACTGCCTGTTTGATGGTTTTACTCAAAAGTGAAATAAGCTTCTCAAACATTTGCAAAATAGAGCCTGCTAGTTCTCCAGTTTTCCTCATCTCAATTAATGGCATTATCCAGCCCAAGTTTTAGTTCATCCATAACCCTCACTCACCACATCCAATCCATCAATAATCCTGTCAATTCTACCTCAGAATGTAACCTGAATTCGTCCACTTCTCTCTATCATCACTGCCATCAACCTCATATAAATATAACTATTTCCTTATACTGAATGTTAATCTTTCTTTTGAGTTCAATCATTCACTGAAAAATATTCATTGAGCTTTAGACACTGGGAATAATGTTAAGAATACCATTAGGAATAATGCTAGGTTTGGGATATAGATGTTCCATAACCTCAAGAAATTTTAGTGGGAGAGAGAGAGAGAAGTAAAGCAGTACTTAGAAATTGATGTCATAGATTAGTGTTTTGGTAATGACATGCTGAGAATTTCCTAGTAATAATGAAGAAGGGGCAATTCATACACTTTGGTTTGGTAGGAAAGGCTTCCTGGAGAAGCACTGAATTGATGAGTTTTGAAGGAAAGCGTAATTGATGATGATGATGGGGTAATGTTCACTGAGAACATGGCAAATATTTTACTCTTAACCATTATGTCATACCCTCAGTTCACCAAATGAAAACATATAGGTAAGCAGGAGTTTTAAGTTCTGGTCATTCTCCTTCAAACTCTATTGAAAACAGTAATAACAATAATCAGTGTAAAAGGGTCTTCAAGTTCATCTTTTCCATGAAGGCTTCCTTGACATCCAATCAGTGATCTCTCCATTTATCTAAACTCCTATAGCAACTTAACTCTATCAGTGTTATACACCTCATGAACTGCCTTGCAATGTGGTTGTATCCATACAGTTACCATCTCTAGAGTTACACCACAGAGTGCAGAGACCACATCTCATCTGTCCTGCATCTCATATGTGCACAGAGTTTGACCCAAGAGACACTCAGCAAATCAGGATTATCAAGTACTGTGGCTGCAAAATGACTAAGCATATCCGCTTCTTCAAAGAGACCATTGCTGTAATTATAGAATATTTTATTTTATTACTTATTTATTTATTTATTTATTTTTGGAGACAGGATCTTTCTCTCTTTTGCCTGGGCTAGAGTGCAGTGGCATCATCATAGCTGATTGCAACCTTAAACTCCTGGGCTCATGAGATCCTCCTGCCTCAGCCTCCTGAGTAGCTGGGACTACAGGTGTACACCACCAAACCCAGGTAATTATTCTTATGTTTTTGTAGAGGTGGGGTCTTGCTATTGCCCAAACTGAAGTATTGTATTCTTTATAAAGTTTGTCACATATTCTC